CAGGTCAGCGAAACTCTGGAGCTTCCACCACAGGAATTAGAGGATTACAAGGAAGGAATTCCAGGCACCAATCGCCTCACACCTGAACACTTCACTCCAATCCACTGGGATTCATATTTTAAATTTTTTTCTCCCTTCTGGAAAATGGTTAATTGGATATGCACTTACATTTCCTATTGCACAGAGAAGTTGAACAAGGCAACCTGAACTGAATATCTCAAGTTGCTAATAAGATGTAGCCATTGGGAGAGTGGGGAAATAATACTCAGATAGGTAGGCAGGCTGGCAGGTAGGCAGGCAGGTAGGAGGGAAGACAGGAAGGTGGGTGGGCGGACGGACGGATGGACTGACAGAGAGACCGACAGACACACAGACAAATGGAGAGAGAGCAAGCAAGCAATCAGTTTCCTCATCAAGATTTTTAGGAAATGGTCAGGAGCGGAAAGGGGGAAGAAAAAACGAAAAAGATTCTCCCCTTTCTTCCCTTCCCGCCCCTCCTTTCCCCCCGAAATTAGTGCCTTCTTGATTATTTGCAGCTGTTTCGAACCTCCAGGTTTGTTCCCAGTAGCGAGAGAGTCTCCCGCTTCCAGAAGTGAAAAGTCATTTTCGCGCCAGCACTTTGCTGCTGGAGTTGGGGGCGATGGCGGTCCTCTGCCACCCAGCCAAGTCTCCGCAAAGCCTCGCTAAGTTCAGCCAACCCTGCTAAACCTCCCACCTCCGCCTCCTTGGGCTCCTGCACCCAGCCTGAGGCCCCGCAGGCCGGGTCCCCTGCTGGAGTGTGACTGCGTCCTGCCCACGCGGATTGCCCGCCGGGAGAGAACACGGACGCCCTGGGGCTGCCTTGGGTCCGTCTCCCTGCCCTCTGGCTGGCCTCCTCGGCCTCCGACTTGCTCCCACCTGCCCACGAACCCTTGTCTCCACTGGTCCTGCGGCCCCTGCGGGTTCAGCCACACGGCCGGCCGCCGCCCTTGACCCTGTGTGGGTGGCAGGGAGAGGCAGCTAGCGGGGCCGGGCCACGGCGTCCTCTTTAGCAATATTCAAGGTGAGGGCCAGAGCTGTGGGTCGCAACGCGAGGCCGGGCCGAAATGCCCGGGATGAACGCCTCGCGTTCGGGCCACACCTTCACTCTAGGCGGCTGTCCGCAGAGACCGCGCCGTGGGGGAAGCCGCGGCGTCCCCGCCCTGGACATGGACCGCGGCCTGACCACGGCGACTGGTGGCGAGGAGCCCGTGGCTCTCCAGCCCGCGGCTCCCAGCTCTGCCCCGAGCCGGCCCAGCGCTGCCCGGCCTCTGCGGACTCCCTGCGGTTCGCTGCGCCCTCGCGTCGCCCGTCGAGGAGGGAGGGACCGAGGCCTGCGCCCGGGAGCTCCCTGGCGGTGGTCCTGTCGCCCCCTGCGAGGCCAGGTCCCACCCCACCCCCAGCCTCGCCAAATCCCTGAAAGCCCCGGCCCCCTCAGTCACCCCGGGGGCTTCTAATCACTCCGTATCGATTTCCCTAACTCTTTTCATCCCGTTGAAGACACATCTTAAAACACTCCAGCCCGGAGTGTGCTCTGGGCTTTATCCACACTAATAAAATGATTTACCCTTCTCTCTGCGCGCTCCTCACAGAGGAAAATCGTTCGAGCCCCGGCTATTTGTGTGTGATCAGTAAATATTTAGTGCGGTGACATCCTCGGCGAGGCTGCGGATCGATTAGGGGCCCACCGGGAGGTGCGCACGGCCCGGGTGGGGCCGAGCCGAGCCCGCCGAGGGGGCTCCTCCCGCCCTCGCCGCCGGCCGCTGATTTACAGCCTCCACAGCCAGCCGAGGGGGGCGAAAGCGCGCCAGGAAAATGGGCTTTTCAACCTTCTTATTTTTGACATTCAGCCACCTCCCGGGCTCTAATTCTCACCCCTGCTTCCCCCCACACTCGGCTCCCGCCCCGTGCGCCCCGCGCGCCCTCCCTGCCAGCAGCGCGCCGCTCTCGCGCCCCAGCGGCCCGGGGACCACCTAGCACAGCCCGGCGCCTGGACGCGCGGAGGTCCAGGCCCCTGCTCTGGGGGTCGTCGCCTTGGGGGCCAGAGGCACTCCGCCCGCCCACACCTCCGAGGGCGGAGAGGGGGTGGAGAAGCCCCGAGCTGCGGTGGCTAGCTAGGCGCCGAGCTCCTCGCTACCTTTCCTCCGACGTCGGCCATTCCCCCCTTTCTGCAACTGATCCCCGACGCCCCTAGGGCCGGGTGGCGTCGGGTGGGAACTTTACTTTGCTCGCAGAGAAGCTCCCCTTTCCTTAGAAGCGAAAAAGCGGGTGGCTTGGGGGGGTTTTGAAGGGGGCCTCCTAACCTGGTCTTCCCTGCCAGGCAGTTGCGACCGCGGCGGTGGCAGAGTCGGGGCCCCTTGGCCCTCAGAGTCTCCCCCCTGGGCACGTTCTTTCCACATTGCAAGGCCGGGCCCCGGACCTAGACTCCAGGCGGGGAGCCCGAGTCGGGGTGGGCACTGCACGCTCTGGTCCCCTCCTCCAGGCCCTGTCACCTCAGGGAGGGCTACGCGGTCCAGAAGGAGGGTATGAGGGACAGAAGTCCCCTGGGCGCCGCCGCTCTACGGCCCGGGGCGCGGGCCTGGAAAACTCAGGCAGGCACTGTCGCCACCTGTTAGCCGGCTGGCTCCCCTCTCACCTGAGGCTGCAGCCTCTGCAATTCCCTGGGGCCCAGGGAGGAAGGTGAATGACCTTGCTGAATCCACACACCCTCCTGGGGCTAGCCCTCTCCTTTGTCCTCCGCCTGATGTTCTAAAGGGCCTTATCTGCAGACTTTATATATCTTTATATTAATGCATACTTAATTGGTTCGTCTTGACTGTCCATATCAAACAATTTAATTAGGGGGCTTTCTTGCTTTGGAGAGCAAAGGGGAAAAAATCTGCCCATTGCTTATTGTATTTAGCACCAATACAGGCAGAAAATGTAGCACAAGTTTTTGGTTGAAAGAGCACCTCTGTGCCCATTGAAGGGCGTTGATCCGAAAAGACAGAAAGGACAAGTAAAATCGATTTGAAGCGACCCTCTCTGTCCCTTTCACACCATTCAGAAACTCCATTCCTTCTAAGACAAAGACCAGAGCCTTGGGAATTCTCAGGGAAAAAGAGGACTCCAATCCCACAAGTCTATGGCACTTTTTTAAAATCCTCAATATTGCACTTAAAACCCCATCTCCTCGGAGCTGTGTGTGCCCTGCAAGCGGGTTTCATAGACACCCCCTTAGAAGCTCCAGGCAGTGTGGCTGACAATTCCCCACTCTTCCTGGCCTGGCCAGTAGGCCAGGCAGGCCAGGCCAGCCCTTTAGGGTTAGAGCAGCCCTCACCTCTGACCCCCCCGGATGGGAGTGACTGCCACTCTGCAGAGCGAGGAGCTATACAACTCTTTAACCCCAAGTTAAAGCAAAACGAAACAAAACAAAATATTTCTGTACTCTCAAACCCAGGGGAAGCCAGTTCTGTCTCAGCAGCCTGAGCCACCTTCTGCAGTGACCACCGCCACTGGCAACTTTTCTCTGCTTTTGCCACAAACTGCCCCAGCCACCCCTACAGGAGGGAATTCAGTTGTCAGGGCTGCATCGGTGGGGTGCGGTGAGTTGTCCTCCATTAGGAGCCCTGAATGCCAGGTTATCTGCCAGGCGCCCACGCTGGGGAAAGCGGTCATCCATCAGACCTGGCAGGGAAGGGGGGAGGGGGAGGGGGACCAGGGCACTCACGGGAGGGCAGAGAGGGGGCTGTGATCACCTTCACCTGCCCTGAGCCCAGCCCCCCTGTTCAACCACCCTTCAGCCTTCTGCTGAGGCTAAAGGGGTGGGGGTGGCTGGGAGGGGGGCACCCCCAAGTTACACAAGTCACCTCTTTCTACTAAGAGAATGAGTTCACCACCTCCCCAGAGGAGCCTTGACATCCATCTACTTAGTGTAACTGATGAGACAAACCGCAAGGAAAAACTTCTGTAGCCCATATTTATGGTATTAATGAATAGTTAAAAAAAGATTTACACTTCTTATGATCAATATTCTGAGTTATTTCCCTCAAAGTATATAATTACAGTGTCTTCAGAGTTTTCATCATTGTTTGAGGTGGCAAAACCATTTGTAATTTTCATTAGCCAGTAAACATGTAATTAACATTCAGCACTGTGTTTAACTTAATTCCTGTTTAAGACAAGGACAAGAAGCAGCCGAAGAGCGTTAGTTCCATTTGTCAAGTCTGACATACATCTTACCATAACAGTTTCCTAAAATAAAAGATCCGTGTTTCCCCATTATTCTTCTCTTAAAACAAAACAAAACAAAAAAAATCCATTAGTTAAAACTGTATTAAACTGCGAGAGGCAGCCTAGTTTGTTCTCAATTTTCGCTAGTTACTGTATTTCTGCTTCCTTTATTTGTTTTGGGGAGTGGATGAAGAGAGGGGTGAATTCAGCATTCATTATCTGAAGACAGGAGATGGGGAACCCCTCCCCCCCAAAAGAAATAGGTTTCCTCCCCAGGAAAGTTCTAGAATAGGGACTGTGAAAGTGGGGGGGGGGAGGTCACAAGTCTGCAGGGGAGAGGGAAAAATCAGTTGTTGGGGGTTCCTGAGTCAAAAGTAGAAAATGAGGAATCCCACAGCTTCCTAGGAAAATGTTGCCCTCCTGTTTCAAGTTCTATCTTTGATCCAGGGTGAGGTGTGTCTGCCAGTCTGCGAGGCTGCTGCTTTTTCCCCCTCCTCTCCCACCTCTGTTTTTTTCCAACTTGCTTTAGGATTAGCCTCCATCCCTCTCGACCCCAAACAGTGGAATTTGGCTGTGCCTCCGGTCGTCCTGCTTTGCAATATTGCCTAGAGTTGTTGGCGGTTTTTTGCTGAGGCTGAGCCGTTTGCTCCAGCCTCCGACTAAACTCATTAAGTTGGGAGATTTTTTTCAATTGGACGGGTGTTTTTAAAGTCTCGTCTTTCCAGCCCCAAACAAGGTGTAACAACGCACTCTTCCTTCTAAGGAATGAGATGAGAGACAAGGATCACTCCAGACATCTCCTACCTACGGTTTGGGGGTTTTTTTCTTAAAGGCGAGGCTTGCATTCCTCAGCAGCTATGTACACAGCTCCCTGAAACCTCGTCTGTCTCTCTAAAGTTAGCGTGCAGGGTTTTTCCAAGCCTGAGAGCGCCTAATACATGGGCAAGCACTTCCTTGAGGTGGAAGATCCCTCCTTTAACCTTTTCTCCTTTTCCCTGCAGGCTAGAGCCTACTTTTTATCAGTTTGCACAATCGCTTAGATAAACCCCGAGGAGGAGATCCTTTAATTATCAAAGACATATCTTTTCAGGGGGCCAACAAAGCGTTTATTTCACCCGCCAAACTAAAGGAGAGTTATTCCAGTTTAGAAGGAAGATGCAAGCTGTGTGGGACCTTGAACAAGGCAAATATGGTTTTGGTATGTTTACTTACAGTATTTTTTCTTTCTTCTCTCTCCTTTCTCACTTTTCTCCTTGTGCTGTGTGGGGTTGGGGATGACTTGGGGATTTTCAAAATTTCGCTTTGCTAACGTGTATGAAATGCCTAGGACTGTGGTTTAAGGGGGTTCGGGGAAGGGGGGAGAGCGTCCATTCAATGCATTGCCATGTTTTATTACATGTGTGTGGTAGGAGAGGTGCTGGAGGGGGGAGAGGGGGAAAAGACCATTGCGAAGCTGCCAAAATATGATTAAACCGAGGTGTAAAGACTGCGGAGCCTCCCATCTCCTCATCCTGTCTCCTCAAACTCATTTCCTTCCATAGAGCAAACTAAAAACCAGTGCTGGAAGCGTGTTTTTCCAAGCAACGGACGACTCGCTTTTCTAGCAAAGGAGCGGCTAGGCTCGCCCTAAGTATCAGAATTTGCTATTCGATTTGTCTCTGCGCTTCATTTTGCAACCTTGTGCAGTTGACAGCCAGCCAGGCAGGGAGGGAGCAAAGCTCTGCCCGGCGCCCTCGGCCGCGGCTCGGGGAGGCGAGCGCCCGGCTACGCTAAGAGAATCGCGAGGAGAAGGGTACTCACCATCGGGCGGGGTGGTGGAGCTGGAGTGCGGGTTTCAGGCAAACCTTTACCTTTGAGCTGGCTATTGCCACCGCGTCGGGCTGACTTTAGAAGCAATTCTTTGCTCTGTCCAGAACGTTCAAGGAACGGTTCCTCATTTTTAAAAAGCCAGCGAGAGAGACGACAGAGACAGAGAAAGAAAAAAGAGGAGGGGGTGAGGGGGACGCACATAAACCCAGTTCAAAAAAAAAAAAAAATCAGCAGCCTCTGCCAGTGACTCGGGAAACGCAGAGGTGGCGAGATTCGAGGCCGGTCCAACCAAGCCAGAGCCAATTAATTTTAAATCCTGGAGAATTATTCAGATTAAAATGTCCAGAACTTTCATTCTCCTATGCCTACGTGAGTCCAAAGTCGTTTCCCTTTAAGAGCTCCTTTTCTTTTAAAGTTGAATTTTTAGGCAGCGAGGACTCTTACACTAGGGGGCAGACAGATACTGTACTTGCTCCAATCTTAAGTAATTTTTTCCCTCCCAGCATATGCTGTGATTTAGCACTGTAAATTTTTCAGAGGACCCAACTCTGACAGCCCCTGGTGATTTTCAAAGTACCACAAGCCAGTGGTTAAAAATTGCATTGACTTGGAAGTTCAGAGGGACACAATGGAAACCCCTTTCCCTATTCATGGAGCTCCAGTGTGGTGGAAGAGAAAAACACACACGGACTAGATTGGGGGAAGGAGGAATTCAATGAATCCTGGTGGACAGAACTGGTTTCTACTGAGTTCAGAGTTAAACTCGGCATTTGCTGGGGTCTGTATTCACATTGTGATTTAATCTGTGAAGAATTACAGCCATCAGGCCACTTTCTGCAAGAAAATCATATTCCTGGGTGGGTTTTCTTTTCCTTCCCCCCTTTTTCACCCAGAGTAAGACAAATGTTTATCCAACTTTCTCGGACCAAATTAAAGCTTGCCATTCCTCTCATTAAAATAAATTTACATCTGCAATAAAAGACTGGGCTGGGTTAAAAAAAAAAAAACAAAACAGTAACAACATACTGGTGTTTATCTTTTAGTTTTAAGAGTTGTTTTATTCAAGGGAAGTGAACATCCCTGAAGAAGACATTTAAAAATGTT